AAAATAATAACAATAATAATTATACAATATCGGAATATTAATCTAATAAAATAATAAACGGTTCTATAACAATATTAAACAATGATGAAAAAGAATGCTAATAGATGTGTTCAAAACCAAAACACAAACAAGGTTTATACTCTTCTGAAAATGCCAAAAGCCAGTTAAATAAACGTGAGTCAGTCCAAGAAAAAAGCAAATGTAGCAAAAGGCAAAGAACATTCTTAGAAATGTCTAGAAGAAAAACCTGCTTTAGTAAAGATGTTTAAAGTCTAAAGCAACAAACAAAATTATACTTATCTGAAATAAAATAAAAAAATACAACTGAATAAAATTTTTTCATAGAGTGAGGTGGATACATTCAATGCTATTTCTTATCTTGTAGCTCAGTGGCATAGCTGCGGGAAGCTCATTGGGTCTTCCTCTCCTTACTATATAGACAATGATAACAGACGATCACACCCTCAAGAAAAAAAAATATACAAAAAAAAATAAATGAAATATATGACATGCTTTCAAGGGAGGGAGTATGCGGATCCTAGGCCATTTAATGCGAATCCCTGCGTCATATTATTTCTAAAACATCGTACATATAGTCAGAGGCCCTATTGCTTCGATAGTAAAATTTTTTGCTTGACTAATGTAGAAAAAATAGATTTGAAAATTTTGAGATAAAAATTAGATTTATATATAATTATTTCACATAAATATTTATACGTTTAATATACGATTTTACTGCACCACGATTTTTGTTTCTTTGTGCGATATAAACATAGATATACAAATTTAGAATAAGGGCTGTATAGGTGGCTTTAAATAAATACCATAAACAATACTATGAAGATCATGGGCGTTAGATGCATGGTATTACCTTCCTTTACCCAGGAACACGGAAATTATGCATCATGTGCACTCGTTTTAAATTTTTAGTATCGTAATATTTTATTTTAAAATGTGTAATAAACTATATATGATATTCTAATAGTATATTAATTTATATAGTATGTTAAAACACCATAATTCATAAGTTATGTAACGTTTATTATTTATGGAAAATTTTAAAGATTAGTAAGGTAAAATTCACGCGAAACATATAAATACTACAAGGCTTTAAATGGCCTCTATTTATGGTGTGGTAGTGATAACTTTAATCAATAATGACCAGATGATCAATATCGACATAACTCTAGTAAAATATGATATTCTCGAAGCATACACGCTGAAAAAACTTTAGAACAGTTATCAATTCGAACAATTGCTAAACACTTAAGTGTTAGCAGATCTTCAATAAGTTGAGTTCTTAAACAATTTCAAAGATGCCGCTTGTAAGAAAACCACGTCTACTAAACTTGTATGATATAAAATATCTTAGGTCTTTAATTGAAAAAAAGTCTGACTAGTATTTCATGAGTTACGATCAGAACTTTGGTTAGGATGTGAAAATAGAGGTCCTTGCAGTATTTTATATGTTTCACGTGAGTTTCGATTTACTAATCAACGTTACAATGATCATGCCGAAATTAATAACTTATAGAATCGGCCAAACAATCATTCGGTCTTTTTTTTTTTTTTTTTCACAGTAGTTCCAAAATTACAGCTGTTTTCAACAATTCTGAAACGTCTGGCAAAAAATAGACCGATTGAATATTTGCCAATTCGATAAGTTTATGATTTCAGTAATGATCGCTACCGAATCAGAACCTATCGAATCGATAAATATTCAATCAGTCAGCTTTTTGTCAGATGTTTCAGAATTTATGAGAACAGATGTAATGAAAACAGATGTAATGTAATGGATCGGTCTTATTAGAGACTGGACAGACTAAATAAACTGTTGTTCAACTCCAATGCCGTTGTGATAGAAATATCCAAGCTTGCATACCCCTTTAATATAACCCATACCGGCAGATTTTTGAATTGAATGAATGCTTTCAGCACCAATTCCATTTTGATAACTATATCTAATTTCATATGTTCCACCATCCCTGATGATTTTTGATAGTATTCGAAGGCTAATATAACGAAATGGACGAAATGATATT